CTGCGCAGCGCAAGCAAATTTAATAACATGCTTGTGCTGTGTTTGCTTTTAAATTGTCTCTGGTGTTTCCACAAGTGGGATACCAGAGGACAAAAGGGCCAGGAAAGTGCATGGTGCATATGTTTGGAGCCTGCTTGTGGGATTGCATGTGTGTAGAGAGTGGTGTGGTATTGTATAAATAGGTCAATTTAATTTGTGTTTGTGGTGTAATATGTGTGGCTAGGGGCTGTAGAGAGTGTGTGTATAGGGGGCATAGTTTTATAGGGGATGCAGCGAGTGTGTGCATACGGGCTGAAGTGTGTGTGTATAGGTGACGTAGTGTGTGTAGGGGTTGCAGAGAGGGTGTGTTTAGAGAATGTTGTATGTGTTTGCTGACAAGGAATGTAGTGTGTGTGTGTAGGAGATCTACTGTGTAAAGGACCCAGTGTGTGTGTGTAGAGGATTAAGAGTGCATATAGGGTAAGGGATCTAATGTGTATCTGGAGCGTGTGTAGTGGTGCAGGGTGAGGGGTGCTGTAGTGTGTGTGTGTGTGTGTGTGTGTGTGTGTGTGTGTGTGTGTGTGTATGTATGTATGTATGTATATATATATATATATATATTTTTACTTATTGTATGTGTGAGGGGCGCAGTGTGTGTATGTAAGAGGGGTGCTGTGTGTGAGGGTGTTTTTATCTGCTGTCACATTCTAGGTTTCTAATTTTCTTTGTCTGTTAACTCACTGAGGGTTATTTTATATATATATATATGTGTGTGCTATATATGTGTGGGAGTGTGCTGTGTGTGTCTGCGTTGTGTGTTTGGGGGGGCTTTTCTGTGTGTGTCTCGCTGTGGGCAGTGCCCGCGCTGTGCCTGCGCTGTGTGTGTCTGGGGGGGTGCTAAGTGTGTGTCTGGGTGCAGTGTGTCTGTGGGTGCTGTGTCTGGGTGCTGTGTGTCTGGGGGGTGCTGGGTGTGTGTCTGGGTGCAGTGTGTGTCTGGGGGTGCTGTGTCTGGGTGCAGTGTGTGTCTGGGGTGCTGTAAATCTGGGTGCAGTGTGTGTCTGGGGGTGCTGTGTCTGGGTGCAGTGTGTGTCTGGGGGTGCTGTGTCTGGGTGCTGCGTCTGGGGGTGCTGTGTCTGGGTGCAGTGTGTGTCTGGGGGTGCTGTGTCTGCTGTGTGTGTCTGGAGCTGCTGTGTGTGTCTGGGGGTGCTGTGTGTGTCTGGGGGTGCTGTGTGTGTCTGGGTGCTGTGTGTGTCTGGGGGTGCTGTGTGTGTCTGGGGGTGCTGTGTCTGGGTGCTGTGTCTGGGGGTGCTGTGTGTGTCTGGAGGCTGTGTCTGGGGGGTGCTGTGTCTGGGGGCTGTGTCTGGGTGCTGTGTTCTGTGGGTGCAGTGTGTGTCTGTGGTGCTGTGTCTGGGTGCTGTGTGTGTCTGGGTGCTGTGTGTCTGGGTGGCGCTGTGTGTGTCTGGGTGCGCTGTGTGTGTCTGGGTGCTGTGTGTGTCTGGGGGGTGCTGTGTCTGGGTGCTGTGTGTGTCTGGGGGGTGCTGTGTGTGTCTGGGTGCTGTGTGTGCCTGGGTGCTGTGTGTGTCTGGGGGGTGCTGTGTATGGGGGGTGCTGTGTGTGTGAATGTATTTTTTTATTTAAATTTAAATATTTTTTTTACTAATAAAAAAAAAAAAATTATATCCCCCCCCTCCCTTCTTACCTTTATCCTGGGAGGGGGGGGAGGGAGAAGATCAGTTCTCCCTGGGGGGTTGGGAGCCATGCTGCCTTCCCTGGTGGTCCAGTGGTGAGAGTGAACTTTAACCTGCGGGTTAGAGTTCACTCTCGCGAGAGGACCGGCGGAGCTGCTTGTTGGAGCTCCGCCGGGTCCTCCCTCCCTCCCTCACCAGCCGGCGCGGCCGCATCTCACTGTCTGTGGGCCGGTGAGGGAGATCTTTGATCTCCCCACCGGCCCACGGAGGCACTATGCAGATCCCCTGCCGGCCTCGGCCCCACGGCCATCGCGGCCCACCGGGCATTTGCCCGGTATGCCCGATGGCCAGTCCGGGCCTGAGGGGCATAGTGTTATAGGGGATGTAGCGAGTGTGTGCATACGGGCAGTAGTGTGTGTGTATAGGTGACGTAGTGTGTGTAGGGGTTGTAGAGAGGGTGTGTTTAGAGAATGTTGTATGTCTTTCCTTACAAGGAATATAGTGTGTGTGTGTGTGTGTAAGAGATCTAGTGTGTAAAGGACCCAGAGTGTGTATAGAAGATTGTGTGTGTGTGTGTATGTGTGTAGAGGATTAAGAGTGCATATAGGGAAAGGGATCTAGCGTGTATCTGGAGCGTAATGTGTGTAGTGGTGCAGTGTGAGGGGTGCTGTAGTGTGTGTGTGTGTATATATATATATATATATATTTAGACATATATATATATATTTAGACATATTGTATGTGTGAGGTGCGCAGTGTGTTTGTGTAAGAGGGGTGCTGTGTGTGAGGGTGTTTTTATCTGCCGTCACATTCTAGGTTTCTAGTTTTCTTTGTCTGTTAACTCACTGAGGGTTATTTTATAATATATATATATATATATATATATATATATATATATGTGTGTGTGTCTCTGGGTGTGCTGTGTGTGTCTGGGGGTGCTGTGTGTGTATCTTGGGGTGCTGTATGTGTTTGGGGGTGCTGTGTGTGTGTCTGGGGGTGCTGTGTGTATCTGGGGTGCTGTGTGTGTCTGGGGTGTGTGTCTGTGCTGTGTGTGTATCTGGGGTGCTGTGTGTGTCTGGGGGGTGCTGTGTGTGTCTGGGGTGCTGTGTGTATCTGGGGTGCTGTGTGTGTCTGGGGGTGCTGTGTGTATGTCTGGGGTGCTGTGTGTGTCTGGGGTGCTGTGTGTCTGGGGGTGCTATGTGTGTCTGGGGGTGTTGTGTGTGTGTCTGGGAGTGCTGTGTGTGTATCTTGGGGTGCTGTGTGTGTTTGGGGGTGCTGTGTGTATGTCTGGGGGTGCTGTGTGTGTCTGGGGTGCTGTGTGTGTCTGGGGGTGCTGTGTGTGTATCTGGGGTGCTGTGTGTGTGTTTGGGAGTGCTGTGTGTATGTCTGGGGGTGCTGTGTGTGTCTGGGGTGCTGTGTGTGTCTGGGGGTGCTGTGTGTGTATCTGGGGTGCTGTGTGTGTGTCTGCGGGGGGCTGTGTGTGTCTGGGGGTGCTGTTTGTGAGGGGGCTGTTATGGAATTTATTTTAAATATATATATATTTTTTTATGAATAATTTAAAAAAAGTTATGTTCCTCCCCCCTCCCTTCTTACCTTTAGCCTGGGAGGGGGAGGGAGCCGTTCTGCCTGGGAGGGGGAGCCTTGAGGGGGGGCTGTGCTGCCTTCCCTGGTGGTCCAGTGGTGAGAGTGAACTCTAACCTGCAGGTTAGAATTCACTCTCGCGAGATCTGAGCGTTGCCGCGGTAACTGCGGCAACGCTCAGAATCTCGCGAGAGGACCCGGCGGAGCTGCTGGTTAGAGCTCTGCCAGGTCCTCTCTCCTCCCTCCCTCCCCAGCCGGCGGCCGCATCTCCCTGTCTGTGGGCCGGTGAGGGAGATCTTTGATCTCCCCACCGGCCCATGGAGGCACACAGCAGGGCCGGCGCTCGGGTAGCGCTGGCCCTGCACGGGCTGGCAGGGGAGATCCTGGGATCTCCCCTGCCGGCCTCGGCCCCACGGCCATCGCGGCCCACCGGGCATTTGCCCGGTATGCCCGATGGCCAGTCCGGGCCTGAAGGTGTGTATATCTGTGTTTGTATGTGCCAGTGTGTGAATCTCTGTGTCAGTGTGTATCTGTGTGTGTGTTTGTGTATATATATATATATATATATCTGACACGCAGATACATATACACTGGCACATAGTGGAACTGACACACACATCTTGACTCACAAATACACACACTCTCAGATACACACAGTGACATATACACACACTTGCACCCACAGATACACACTGGCACATACACACATTGATACATGCACACACTGACATACACACACACACACACACACACATAGGCACATACAAACATACTAATATACACTGGCACATACACACACACACATTCTGACATACACACACAGATACACACACTCAGACACACATACTCTTTGAGAGACACACATACACACACACCCCCTTTCACTGACAAACACACATACTCTTTTACAGACACACTTACACTCTCACTGACTGGCCCACCGGGATACCGGGAAATTTCCAGGTGGGCTGTGGCACTTGGGGCCACACAGTGCAGCAGCCCTTCCTTTCCAGTACACACACTCACATTAGGGGTACTGGGGAGCACAGGTCTCCTCTTATCTCTTTAAGAGGCTTTCCTTATCCACTGTGAGCAGCAGGTGCTGGAAATTGAACTTTCAATGCTGCTCGCAAGTGAGACAATGAGCAGACAGCCGGCAGGAGGAGCCTGGAGTGGGTACAGGGAGGATGGAAGTCTCTGTCCCTGCCTGACAGCCTGCACACACAGGAAGCATGTGACCCGGTAATCAGGCAGAGCAGGGCAGCCCACGCGGGTCCTCTGACATTTTGCTTCCTGTGTGTAAAGTGCTTGAGGCAGGGAGCCCTGTGAGAGAGCTGAAGGGAAGCTGCTGGGAAGGAACAAGGTAGGCTCAGTGAGCAGAGGCACCCAAGCATTTCATTTTAATTGTACTGATTCTTACAGTGTTTATATTTGAAGGTTTAGTTGTGAGTGTGTTTGGTGTGTATTTTTGTAGTGTGTGTGTCAGTATGGATCAATGTGTATGTGTGTGTGTGTGTCAGTATGGATCAATGTGTGTGTGTCAGTATGGATCAATGTGTCAGTATGGATCATTGTGTGTGTGTGTGTGTGTGTGTCAGTATGGATCAATGTGTCAGCATGGATCAATGTGTCAGCATGGATCAATGTGTCAGTATGGATCAATGTGTGTGTGTCAGTATGGATCAATGTGTGTGTGTGTCAGTATGGATCAATGTGTGTGTCAGTATGGATCAATGTGTCAGTATGGATCAGTGTGTGTGTGTCAGTATGGATCAATGTGTCAGTATGGATCAATGTGTGTGTGTGTGTGTGTGTGTGTCAGTATGGATCAATGTGTGTGTGTGTCAGTATGGATCAATGTGTCAGTATGGACAATGTGTGTGTGTCAGTATGGATCAATGTGTCAGTATGGATCAATGTGTGTGTGTGTGTGTGTCAGTATGGATCAATGTGTCAGTATGGATCAATGTGTGTTTGTGTGTGTGTGTGTCAGTATGGATCAATGTGTCAGTAAGGATCAATGTGTGTGTGTCAGTATGGATCAGTGTGTGTGTGTGTGTGTGTCAGTATGGATCAGTGTGTGTGTCAGTATGGATCAATGTGTCAGTATGGATCAATGTGTGTGTGTGTGTGTGTGTCAGTATGGATCAATGTGTGTGTCAGTATGGATCAGTGTGTGTGTCAGTATGGATCAATGTGTGTGTGTCAGTATGGATCAATGTGCGTGTGTGTCAGTATGGATCAATGTGTCAGTGTGGATCAATGTGTGTGTGTATGTCAGGGAGTGTGTATACATTAGTGATTGTGTGCCAATGTTTGTATGGGATGCAGCATTAGTTTGTGTGCCAGTGTCTGTTGATGAGTACATGTCAGTATGTATGGGCATCAGTGACTACACGCCTGTGTGTGCCAGTGAGTATTTATTAATTAAAAATCCATGTGTCTCTCTATGTTTTTTTTTTTTTAATTTTAAAATAAATTGAATCTAAAAAAATGTATATATAGTTTTATATAGTTTTGCTTTATCTATGTGATTTGGTGATTTGTGGGAGTATTATGAATCTATATATTTGCACAAATATCAAAATATATATATATATATGTATATATATATATATATATATGTTCAGCCCCCACGGTGATTGGCTGCCTGAGAGCAGAGGCAGGCATTGGGATCACTGAGGACTGAGGCAGGCAGGCTGCTGGGGCGGCCAGCTCATTTATTGCAGAGGGAGGGAGATGGGTGGCCGGCCCATGGAGAGCTGTGGTAGAAAAGGTGGGCAGCTGCCGGAGGGGAGCAGCCGGGTAATGCAGAGCAGAAGGAGGCGGGCGGCTGACTTAGTGCCACGGCGAAGGAGCTGTAATCTCCCTGCTCTGCTCCCTTGCGCAGCTTGCAGTGATTCACGCAGCTGGGTTATGATGTCACTCTGGCCCCCGGCTCACTAAACAGTGCGTGAGAGGGAGCCGAGTAGGGAGATGACAGCAGTGCTACTGGACCCCAGGGAAAGCATATTCTCTCCAGCTCTCTAAAGGTAAATTTAAATAAAAGAGTAATTACTTGTGCGTGTGTGTGTCTGTCTGAGTGTGTGTGTTTGTGAGTATGTCTGTGAGTGTGTGTGTCTGTCAGTGTTGGTCTGAGTGTCTGTCTCTGTGTCTGTCTGTGAGTGAGTCTGAGTCGGTCAGTAAGTGTGTGTGCTCCCTCCAATCACATGGGAAAGTGTTGTTTTTTGTTGTTGGTTTTTTTACTCACCTTTTTTCCATGCTGTGGCTGGCCCCACCTCCATGGCTGAGATTATCAATCTTGACGATCTCAGCCAATCCAATGCTTCCTCATAGCAAAGCATTGGCAGACTATTGTGCATGCACGGCAAAATGCCACTGCGCCAATTTACCTTCTCATAGAGATGCATTGAATCAATGCATCTGTATAGAGAACATTAACGTAAGGGCTGCACAGTGTGAAGCACTGACCCAGGAAGCACCTCTAGAGGCCGTCTGAGTGACTGTCGCTAGAGGTGTCACCAGGCAGCAATGCAAACACTGTTTTTTGTCTGAAAAGTCAGTGTTAACATTTAAAATCATTCAGGGTCAGGATATAGACGTCAGAGCAACTACATTAAGCTGTAGTGGTCCTGGTGATTATAGTGTCTCTTTAAGAATTGTATTTTTGGCGTTGATTTCTCTGGCTCCTAACTTTTCTAGCTGGCTGCTAGATTCCAAACTAATTTGTAAAACTGTGTGTGTATATACACACACACACACACACACACACACACGTAATCTTATAAATTATTATGGTTATAATATATATCATACTGATGTTTGTGTGTATATGTGTGTGTGTGTGTGTGTGTGTGTGTGTGTGTATATATATATATATATATATATATACATATACACACACACACACACATACATATACACACAAACATCAGTATGATACACATATGTTAATAGACATATGCATACATAACACACATTTGGAGATTACACACGTATATAAATGTAACAAGGGTTTTACATATTTCAAAGGGTTACTCACTAAATTTCTCATTTTAGAAAGTGAAAATCTAAATTGCGTAATTTAGACCAAAATAGTGGATTTAAAAAATTCAAACTTCGCCATAGTGACAGCTTGAATATTACCTGTATAGCCTAATTTTTTAAAATTTATTCACAAAAAATATTAGTTTAGTCGATAACCCTGCCCTTCTCTCAGTCTTTCATTCCCTGGTATCAAACTATATCCAACGCAGAGTGCACTCATAGGATTGAGGACTAAACAAATTAAGATTAATTTAAATTAGACATGCAGCAGCTATCTGTCAATGACTATTCAAGTTTGGGATGAAGCGTTGGGTAAATAATTTTCAATCCTTTGTATTTTTCCACCTGTATATCTGTCACAGTTGGCACAATTAATGTTAGGGCTGGTGTAAAAAAATTCCAGGGCTGCTTTTTATTCCCAGTCCGGCCCTGTCCATTATACCTTAGCAGCGTTAATTCAGTTTTGTGGAGGTATATTGGGTGATCAATGATGAATGGAGGGGACCTTACGGGGTTATCCCAGTATGGTTAGTTGCGTGGTTCCCTGTAGGGAAACGAGACCCTTCGTCTCTGTTTGTTGGGGGGGTTTAGATAGGAATCCCATTTATAGGGTTGTAATGGGGGTGTGACGTCTGGATCTGGTATGCCTCCCATATCTCCAGCTATCCTATTCCCCACAGCCCTGTTTTACACTGACAAAAAAACCTGAGGTTACGCCTGGCAGGTGCCTTGGAGAGGGTGCTTCCCTGCAGATAGTCCCAGGCATAGCCAATGTCTTTGTATGGAGGCTTATGTGGAGAAATGTGTGAGTCCACTGCTGCCCGGAGGCATCTCTAGCAGGGTTCAGGAAGTCCAGTGTCGGGTGATGGAAGGGCCCAGCTTTGCGTCATGCGGTTAGGTGTTCGTACCACGCCGGAGGTCTGAGGTAGCTGTCTTTGGCAGCCCGTGGCCTGGAGTGCTTGACCAACTGGAGAAGCTCTCGGCGAAGAAACAAAGTCCTTAGAGATCATTGGAACTTGAGAGGTAGAGTCAATAGTAGCTTTAGGAGATGTGTTGCGCGCGACGGTTAGCGTCTCGCGCGTTTCCACTCATGAGGTAGGGCACTGATAGCCTGGGGTGCATTTGTGAGTTGTATATCCCATTTTCTCAGAAGTTGTATGCCATCGTCTGGACTGAGTACCGTAGTGGCTTGCCCATTGCGAGTGACTATCAGCTTGGTGGGAAATCCCCATCTATATTGGATTTGATGTTGTCTCAGGGCGGTTGTCACTGGGGTATAGAGTCGCCGTGTGGCTAGCGTTGCTGGAGATAAGTCAGCGAATATTTGGATATCTTTGTAAGCTTCAGCTAGAGATTTAGCTGTTCTACTAGCCTCCTTGATGTGGTGGTAGTGTGCGCGTAGTAGCACGTCTCTGGGAGCAGATGTTGGAGCTGCCCTCGCTTTGGCCACCCTGTGGATGCGATCAAGGAGGAGCATCTGGATAGGTAAGTCATGGCAAAGACTTTGAAACAGGCCTATAGCGAATGCCACGGATTCTGGTATTCCTCATAGCCTCAGGTTGTTACGGTGGGACTGGTCTTCAAGGTCTGCCAGTTTGGTATCATGGGAGGATAGGTGTGCCTCTAGCTGTTGTATTCTGGTTAACATTGTGTTGTGTGCGGCTGCATGGGTTTCCATTTTATTTTCTAGGTTTTCTGTCCTGTCTCCAGTGGCTTGGATTTCTTTTTCCAGGTCAGATATGGATGTGTGGAAATGGGCCATCAGCTTGTGAGATTGGGCATCCAGCATTTTTTGCAGGATAGTTTGTGTGACTCTCCCTCTTGTGTGGGGGGTAGGGGAGAGCTGGAATCCTCTGGGAATCTTCCCCAGAGTCATGGTCGCCATCTTGGAGGCCTACCTGACCGGCCGCTGGGTTCTGCTGGGTCTTTGTGGTGAAAAAAGATGAGCGGACGCCTTTCCCCTTTCCCTTGTGGTTTGTGGTGTGACATCACTCTCCTTTGGTTAGTACTGCTATTACATCCGCCGAGCACGGAGCCCCGGTCTCACGCGGCCATCTTGGTCGGCGTTTGGCTCCGCCCCCATTTTTTATCCTTTTTAAATGAAAATAACAAAGGGATTGAGCTAGATACAGAAGTCAGCACCACAAAAGTTCAATTCCTAGACCTGGAAGATAACGAGTTAAGCACTCAAACTTTTTTTAAAAAGGTTCATACAAACACCGTTATTGATTCCACAAGCTGCCACCATCCCTCATGGTTGAAATGTATTCCTAAAAGCAAACTCATAAGGCTAAAACGTAACTGTTCTAAAAATGAAGTATTCCGAGAACAAGGATATGGCCTTAAAGAAAGGTTTTTAGAAAAACAATACAATTACTGAATTAAAAAACTACGACAGAAATCAGCTATTGCAATATCACAATTCTAACTCAAATCAAGATATAGATCAACCTATTGTTTTAGATTTTAATAATAAGAGTTTCAAAATGAAAAAAATCATTAAAAAACATTGGGATATTTTTAAAAGAAGACCCTCTTTTAAAAACCATCTTACTGGATAAACCTAAAATAGTTTTTAGAAGTGCCTCCAACCTAAAAAGGTGTTTGACACATAATTATACAAAGAAAACTATTCCTAAATCATTTTCTTTTAATCAACAGAATGGTTTTTATAAATGTAAAACATGTTTAGCATACTGATAATAAAGACACGAAAATCTTTCATTTTAAGTCTACATACTCCCCCCAGAGATATATATAATATCAATAGCTTTATTACCTGTCATTCAAAAAATGTTATATATCTCTTAGAGTGCCCTTGCAAATTGCAGTATGTCGGGATGACCACCAGATGTTTAAAATCACGTATAGCAGAGCACTGTAGGAATGTATCAAAAGGTTTTTTAACTCATTCAGTGTCAAAACATTTTTTAATTCATAACAAAGATCCTACATTTTTAAAGTTTTATGCTATAGAAAAAATATCTCCCCCATGGAGAGGGGGAAACATTTCTAAAATTTTAGGGAGAACTGAAATTAGATGGGTTTTTAAACTTGATACCATGGCCCCTAAATGGCTTAATGTTGATTTTGTTTTGTTTAATTTTTTCTAAATAAAAAAAAAAAAAAAAGGGATTAGGATTGCCAGATTTTGGGCACTTATGCCCACTTAAAAACCCTAGTTTTTTGTTTTCTCCTTCCCTATTCTATCTAGACTCAGGTTTAAGTAAATTATTTGTAATTCTTTTTTATCCACGCCAGCGGCGGCCATCTTGGTACACTGTGGTGGCCATCTTGGAACCTCTTTGAAGGTGAACTCCTTTGTATTACAATTCTTCTTGTGGATACTTATTATTCCTAACACAGTTACACATACTATGTTGTTTTTAAACTCTCTTTTATCTTTATTTTTTTTATTTTTAATAATATTTATTGAAAAAAAATTTTTTTGTTGTTAATATAAACAACACATACATCATACAACAATAAAAAAAATAATAATTTATAAATAGATAAATGAATAAATTTACAAGTAACAGCATAACCTCAACGCAGTTGCGAAAAAAAATTACCAAACCAGAATATCACTTGTTGCGTTTAACAATATTTCCCAAAAATACTAACATTGGGTAAATGGACATAACAGTGCAAACATACAGGTCTAAATCGTTGGTCAGTTCAAAGCTTTCCAGTCAGATCATTATTTTTTAGTTGGTTTCCAGCCATTCATTGTAATATTCTTGTTTAATTAAAGAACATAGGGAAGATCTGTGCAAATCTCTTTCCATGCGCAATTGATATGATCATATGATGATATGGTCTATTAAATGCCTTCTATAGAATTTGATTTCCATCGTCTGGCTATTGTGATTTTGGTTGCTAAAAAACAGTGTAAAACAAGGTATTTTAGTGAAATTAAGGATATAGTCCAGTTTAATGTAATAGGGCAACCGCAGGTTCTTTTTTTACATTTATTTTAGAGAACTAAGTAAGAACTAAGTAAGTCGTAAGCCCACGACCATAAGGAATTTACCAGTTTACAATACCACCATATATGTAGAAAAGAACCGTCCAAACCTCCAAATCGCCAACAATGTGAATTCTGATCGGGATAGATTTTAGAAAGCCTAAATACCATTTATACATAATCATATATTGACATTCTATCAGATTCAAACAATGAACGTGTTTTCGTATATTCTTAAGGGTGTAACACCATTCATTTTCAGTTATATCTGTGTCTAAGTCTTTTTTCCACATCTCAATAATATATAGGGTTTTTTGATTAGAAAGAATTATTAGATTGGCTAGTTTCAAAGTTATTTTTTTTTACTCTAGTATAATAAAAAATTCATAGAATTAAAGAATCAAATTTAGATGTATTTCTTAATAGAGCTTTATTTCAGAAATTCTTGACTCTCAAATATGAGAAAAGTTCTTTATTTGATAAATGTAGTTTAATTTTAATATCAACAAAGGGTATCAATTGATCTTTTTGGCAGACATCTTTAATACTCCATTGATAGTTAGACCAATTGTTTTAAGAGATATCTTCCATGCAATCTTCTAAAACAGCCAGATAGCATATATTAATTACTTTGTGGGAGATTTTTTAATGTTTTTCAATATGTCTCTTTTATCTTTAATTACTTATTTGTTTTTATTTTATGTTTAAAAATAATTAATGCTCAGGTCACATAAAGAGACATCATCTTACCGTTTATTTTTTTATTTTTTATTTCATAGCTATTTAAGAGGGAAGGTCCCATACTCTGAAACACTTTGAAAAAGCCTTCTGTACAGGTGAAACGCGTTAATGTGTTACTTACTTTTCTTTTTATTTGTCTAATAAAATTAATCTGCATTGTACCCCTGGACCTTCATTGGACAGAGATAGAGAATGGTCAAAGGGAAAGCCGAGGTCAAGGAAGCCAGAAATACTCAGATACCGTTTTTAAACAAGCCAAGTGAGGGGAACCAGAATTTGGAATAACCAGGGAAAAGCCAAGATCAGGATACCAGGAAGTAATATTCACAAAGATAAACGCACTCTAGGAACCAGGAACAGGAAACCACGACAGGGCAACGTTCTGGGGTGAATTAGGGATTTAAATATCCCCATCTAGGCTCTGATTGGTCAGAGTGTGACCTCTGACCCCAGAACGTGCGCGTGCGTTGACATCGTGCGTTGTCACGCGCACGTTCTTATAATTTTGGCGGGTGGAGCCATGGATGGACGCGACCTCATGGTCGGCGCCATCTTGGATTTCCCCGAGCGGCGTGGAGGAATGGTTTCCGGCTCGCCGCTGAGCAGGTAAGCTCAGTGAGTTGTTGCGGTCATGCCGGTCGTGCACGGACTCACATGGCGGTGAGCCGGGGGCCGTGATAGTACCCCCCACTCGAAGACCGCTCACCGGACAGGAAGGAGCCGGCTTGCAAGGAAAACGGTTGTGAAATGACCGGACAAGACGGGGAGCATGAACCTGGTCCGCAAGAACCCAACTACGTTCCTCCGGACCATATCCCTTCCAGTCAACCAGATAAGACAGAACACCTCTAGAGAACTTGGAGTCTAAAATAGTTTGGACTTCGTACTCCTCTTGATTACCTACAACCAAGGGCGGAGGAGGAACAATAATTTTTGTGTATCGATTGCAAGTGAGGGGCTTAAGCAATGATAGATGGAAGGAATTAGCAATTCTCATATGAGCAGGGAGTGCCAATGAATAAGTCACAGGGTTTATACGACGGAGGACACGAAAGGGACCTATGAATCGAGGAGCTAGTTTCATGGAAGTAACCTTGAGTTTGATATGACGTGTGGACAACCAAACCCTGTCCCCCACTTGATAAACAGGATTGGCACCCCGTTTCTTATCAGCTTGAACTTTAGTACGTTTAGAGGCATTCTGTAATGCTGAATGAACAGAATCCCAAGTGTCTTGGATAGAAGTCAAACGGGTGTTTAATGCAGGAATATCAGTCCCTGAAAATGCAGAAGGTAAAATAGTGGGGTAATAACCTTGATTTACAAAAAATTGACTCTGACTCGAGGATTCGTGAGTCGCATTATTTCTGGCAAATTCAGCCATGGGTAAGAGTTCGAACCAATTGGACTGATTGGCATCGATAAAGCAATGCAAATAGGATTCTAAAGATTGATTGGCTCTTTTTGCAGTGCCATTAGTCTGAGGGTGGTACAAAGAGGAAAATGAAAGTTCTATGCCCAACTGTTTACAGAAGGCACGCCAGAACCTCGAGATAAATTGAGTTCCTCTGTCAGAAACGTTTTTTTGTACTCCGTGTAAGCGAAAGATTTCCTTTATGAAAATTTGGACTAGATCTTGAGCAGATGGCAATTTTTTAAGAGGTATAAAATGTGCCATCTTGGAAAATCTATCTACAACCATGAGGGTGGTGTTATGCCGATTAGAACTGGGAAGTTCCACAATGAGATCCATGGCTAAATGGGTCCATGGAGCATTGGGTATCGGAAGTGGCTGTAGCAACCCAGGGGGAGATCAATGAGATGTTTTAGAAACCGCACATATTTGACATGCCCCTACATAGTCTTTAACATCACCTCTGAGTGTAGGCCACCAAAATTTTCTGGAAATAGCAGAGAGTTTTATGTATTCTAGGATGTCCTGCTGTCAGATTATCATGAAACACTCCAAATACTTTCTTCCTTAATAAGGGTGAAACATACAGTTTGTCCTGGAGTTTCCCCACAGGTGCATGAGTTTGATCTGCTATTATGGCACCAAATAGTGGAGAAGATATTTCAGTAACTGTAGTAGCGATAAGACATTCTAGAGGTACGATCGGGAATACCTCTTGTTCAGGGGCTTCATCTGTCTCAAACTGTCTAGAGAGTGCATCTGTCTTGGTATTCTTTGTCCCGGGCCTGTATGTAATTATAAAATTAAACCTGGAGAGGAATAATGACCATCTAGCCTGTCGGGAGGACAATCTCTTAGCATCCCCAATATAAGCCAAATTCTTATGATCGGTAAAAATCAAAAGTGGCTCTTTGGAACCTTCCAAGAGATGCCTCCATTCCTTAAGGGCGAGAACAATGGCCAGTAATTCCCTATTCCCGATGTCATAATTTCTCTCTGCTGGAGTTAATTTTCGAGAGAAAAGGCCATAGGGATGTAACGGCGCATCAGGACTCTCTCTTTGAGACAGAATGGCTCCTACTCCTGTCTCTGACGCATCTACTTCTAAAATAAAATGTTTGGTCGGATCAGGGTGCGTCAGGACAGGTGCTGAAGCAAATAAAGAGTTTAATCTTTCAAATGCCTCCTTTGCTTCTTTGGACTATAAATTACAATTTTCTCCTTTCTTGGTTAGGTTGGTAATAGAAGCGATTACTGATGAGAAATTCTTAATGAACTTACGGTAATAATTTGCAAAACCTATAAAGCGTTGTGTAGCTTTAAGGCCTTTGGGTAACGGCCATTGCAAGACTGCTTCCAGTTTGTGTGGTCCATTTTGAAACCAGAAGGGGATATAACATAGCCAAGAAACTGTATCTCAGTCTGTTCAAACTGGCATTTTTCCAGCTTACAGTATAAGCCATTTTCTTTTTTTTCTTTTTCTTTTTTTTATAAATTCTTTATTTTGAGAAGATTTGTGTTTATAGGGTGGGGGTACAGAAGAGAAAACAGGGGATTAGAGTTCTTGAGATGTATTTCACAGCACATACATGTGTTCAGTAATGGTCATCAAACAAGTCAAGCGCATATATCAATTGTGTACCGTAAAAATCTATTTGCATTGTTTGAGGGTTAACCTTTTGCATTTTCCTGTTGATATTTGATCCTTTTGGTCTTGTTCTTGGGGTGGGGTACAGAGGTGAGAGGGGTTGGGGTTGGGTATTATACCTTTATCTTAGTGGTGTGTAGCCTGTAGTGTGACCCTAATGATCGCTTGTGTTAGAGCGTGCATGGCTAGGTTCAGTGGTAACGTCTAGTAGTATGGGTGTACCGGTATTGGATAGATGGATCAGGATGGATATCATGTGTCCTCTTCGTTTGTTTGTGATTTGCATATATCTCGTCTGTTAGTGCGTTCAGTTATTTGATAAGGGTGGCTTGTGTTGTTATGTTAGTTCATACTAACTTCTGTGCTCCTAACAGTCTTTCGTATTTGTTTTGATCCTGGGGTTAGAGTGGGTGGGGGGGGTTTTGGGTAATCTACCGTATGCGTTGGTTATCCTAAGATATTTGTTTGGTGTTGTCCTGTTGCTGAGTGCGGTTACTGTTTTGGTTTTGTGACTGTTGTGTGGTTTCTGTTTGCTCTCTGTGGGGGTTTTCCTCACTGTGGTCCGTGAGATGAGTGAAGGTTGTGTTTTGTCTTTTATTTGTCTGGGGAGGGAGGTGTGGGTTGGGGGGGGGGTAGATGAGTATCCGGTTCACAGTCCCCTTCTTGGGGTTGTCCTCTAGATTTCTGGTCTCTGTGTCGAGTCTGATAATCTTGATGTATGTTAGTTATGTTTCGGTTGGATGAGTTTGATCGGTTAGTGTTTTCCCCTGCGGACGGGGGTATATTTTGCTGGTGTTTGTCGGTCGTGGGTTGGATCTTGTTTGCTGAGTGAGGTTTGTTTGGTTTTCATGATGCTGATAGGGAGGTGCCAAGTGTCATGTATGGGGGGTGTGGGTCGGTTGGTTGGGTACTTGTTTGTACGGCCTCACTGGGTGTGTGTTAGGTGGTGTATTAGCCAAGGATCCCATTTTTTGCTGTGGTGGTGGGTTGTGTCGTGGATAAGGGCCGAAAGTTTGTCCATTTCCATGGCATCCTTTGTTTTGTGTATCACGGTCTCTAGGGTGGGAGTATTTTGGTTGCCCCATTGTTCCGCAATTGTGCGTCTAGTGGCTAGTGCAATTTTTGCGAGTAGTTTGTTCTGAGACCTGATCAGTGGGGCATGGGGTTTCGAGAGTAACCAGATCCATGGGTCCATGGGTATGTCTGTGTGGAAGATTTGAGACGTGAGTTCGGCCACGTCTGTCCAGAGGTGAGATATGTAGGGGCATTCCCACCATTGGTGAATGTAGGTACCTTGGGCTCCACAGCCCTTCCAACACGTATCTGTTTTACTCGTAGGTGTGTTAGGTACCATCTATGGAACATTTTGTATGCTTGCTCTTTATGGTTCACACAGATTGTGAGGGACGCTTTTGTGTGGTTTGATCGTTTTTAATATGTACGCTATTTCCTCCTTCGTGACGGGGGCCGCTAGTTGTGTCTTTTCTTCGTCGGGCAGTATAGGGAGGGGGATTTCTTTTCGGTACGACTCTATGTCTCGTTGGTTGGTTGTCTGTTGCTGATGGTGACGGGCTCCCGGCTTATGGTCGGAGAGTTTTGTGAATTATTTGGCAAAGATAGATGCTATTTTATCAGGAGTGTCATATGTCGTGCCTTTGGGTGAGTTTATTTTGTCTATCCGTTTTGTTTGGGTTCTATGACGAAGTTTGCTCGCAAAGAGGATGCCTTGTTGGATTTGTCATAATAGAGTTGCTTGGTCCATAGGAGCGCTTTTTGGGAGTCCTTGGACATGTATTGTTTGATGGCTTGTTGATGGGATTTGATCTGTTGGAGAATGTCGGGTCTGTTTTGTGTTGGTCTGTAAGGGTCCGTAGCTGGAGTAGGTGGTGTTTTAGTACCACCATTTTCTGTTTTTTTTTTGTCTGGTGGCCTGTTCTATTAGTTTCCCTCTGATTACCGTTTTGTGCGCCGCCCATAGCATGCCCATTGAGGGTACTGAGTCTTTGTTGTCAGTGAAATAGTTCCCTAGTTCGGTGCGTATGGTCTTTCTTATGTCCGGGTTATGGAGTAGGGTAGGGTTTAAGCGTCCAGGTCGTGAGGGGGATCTGCAGTTCGAGTGTTATGTCCGCATGGTCTGACCATGCTATGGTGCCTATAGAGGTGTTTGTTGTCAGGGGGAGTAGGGAGGGGGAGATTAAAAACTTGTCAATTCTAGAGTAGGAGGAATGTGGGTGTGAGTAGAAGGTGAAGTCCGGTATGTCGGTATGTTGCAATCTCCATATGTCCTGGAGACCTGTGTGGAGTGCAAAATCCGCTATTGATTTGTCTAGTTTAGTGGGGTATTTGGTAGATTTGGTTTTGGCGGTCGTAGCCCGTTTACGGTCTATAAGGGGGGACATGACTGCGTTGTAGTCTCCCCCTAGTATTATGTGGTGTGAGGTAAATAGTTTTAGGTGGGCCTTGAGGGTCGTCCAGAAAAGCGGGTACGGTTTGTTGGGCACGTAGATGGTTGAGATAGCATATCTGTGGTTCCCCAAGTTACCTGTTATTGTCAGGAACCTGCCTTGTGGGTCTGCTATTGTGTTTTTGAAGGTTATCGGGCAAGATTTGTGTAGTAGTATTGCCACCCCGTTGTATTTGCCAGTTTGGGAGTTTGCTAGGTGGCATGTCGTGTAGTTTTTGTTTTTAAGGGGGAAGGATCTGGCTTCTTCGTAGTGTGTTTCCTGGAGGAGGATTATGTCTGCCCTTGTGCGGTTCGCCCAGCGCATCAATTGATGCAGTTTAGCCAGGTTATTTAGGCCTTTACAGTTAGCCTGGTTATTTAGGCATTTATATATTAGATTGTCCTAGGCATGGTGTGTGGTGTGCGGTCTTCGGGGTAGTTAGTGGAAGGCCTGCAGGTTTGGTTCTTCCTTTTCGGGGGGGGGTTGGGTGGGGAATAGGAGGTAGGTCGTGGGATGGATGTTGGGGTGAGTGGTTATGGGGTCGGGGTGATGGGAGTGGGGCGAGGGGGGTTGTGGTGAGGGTGTTTCCTGGTCTTACAATTCCAGGTGTGTTGGAGGGGTAGTTGGTGCCTGTGTTATATGTATGTTTTGCCCCTTAGGGGTCGGTCTGTGTGTGTATATGTCCGGGAGAGAGGAGGAAGGTTTTCACGTTCCCTTTACCTCTCCCCATTAGCACTAAGTGTAGTGTATTACTCACGGTTTCTGTAAGGTGAGAGTCAGTTAAGTCGCCGTGAGTAGTCCCTTTGTAGTTGTCGTGTTTGGGTTGGATCTGTAGATGTTTGTTTCGGGTCGGAGGATCACGCTTGGTGTTGGTGGGATTAAGACGTTTCTGCTGTGGTGTCCAATGAGGT